GGTAGATTATGGACCAATAGATACCCTTCAATCCTTATCTCTACTGATGTTTCCGCTTCTCAAATTGCGGCAATAATCCACTCTCCTTCCCAAGCCTTTGTTCTCAATTAATGTCTCCCGCCATCCCTCCTGCAAGCATCTTCTACTCATAGAGAACTTTTCGCTATCCTTCAGTCTTTTCGTTTCCTTTTCGCAAAACAGTTGCATCTTCTTAAATCATCTGCCATTAGGCTTCAAACTGATAGCCAAGGCGTTTTCTTCCTCCTTGTCAACCTAAAATCCACAAAATCACTTTTCAATCACTGACTCAGAGAAATCACGTCAATCCTTCTACTAAATGATACCCTGCTTTACCCAATTTGGATTCCCCGCAACCTTAATCACCAGGCTGATTTTGTCTCCCAAACAGAAGACAACTCAGATTGGGGGTTGTCTTCTCACATCAAGGCCTCAATTTTTCGCCGAATAGAGGCACCCGCAATTGACTTATTTGCTTCGGATTATCACCATGTTTGTCTCATTTTCATCTCCAAAACTTGGTCACAACACGCTTTTCAAATCGACTCTCTCGCTTTAGATTGGAGTTCCCTGCCACATTCCCCTTATAGATTTTTTTTCCCTCCCACCTCCCTACTTCATCAGACCATCTCCCGTGCCTTATCAAGGCCCGCCTATTACGTCCTCATTTATCCATCCTCACTCAAAGCTTTCTGGTTGCCTCGTATCCGTTCTCTCCAACCCCTTTGGTTGTTTAAGATTCCATCCTCTCCTTTTTCATGCATTCCCAGTCTCAGGATCGGTTCCTCTTCGTCTAACCCGGCCACCTTCAAGCTCAGGGCCATCCTCTTTAGAACCTAATTCATCATTACGCCGTTTCCACCCCCGGCGCACCCCGTAACCATACCGCATGAAGGTCCCTATACTACTCCATGTACCTCGCCACATCATCTCCCCCAAACTCCATCCTTCCTCAATACTCGCCTGTACTCCCCTAATTTGGAAACTATGGCCGCTCTCTCCATCAAAAACATCGGCTTCGCTAAACCATTTCTCTATCCATTTCAAGAAGCCCCCGCTTCCCAATGTTGAATTTTCACGCCCACTCCGGAAAAGAAATCCACTTCGAATATCCTGCCCCAATCTTTCATAGGCAGCTATCACTTCTGGGATTATTGCTAACCCCCTCCTTCTTATGGGTCTTTCAATCTAATTAAAAATCGCCCCCCCTGTCTGTTTGTTTTCGTATAACTCGGTCTTACTGTTCTTGCTCCTATATCTATCTCCCGATATTGCAAGCGCAATCCTTCACCGCACCGTTGCCAACTCTCCCATAGGTACAAGAATGCTGTTGCATCCCGATATGCTTCCGCTTCCCTTACTCCTTTCAATATCCTTATCTTGTTTCTAATATACGTAATCACCAAGCTCAATTTTTTCCAATTCAAAGGTCGCGCCAATTCCTTAATCACCCCTTTTTCCAGAGCATACTCTCGATACGTTTTTCGAAAGACTTTTACGCGACTACTCTGAGTAGGATCATTACTTCCTTCCCTTCCCAATAACTTAAAACTGCTACTCAAGCAATTTATAACTGCATCTCCGGTAGAAGGAGAAACCATAGCCGCACCTTCCACGTCGGTAGTCTTGCATCGACCTTCCACCTCAATCATCCATTGACTAGTTACAAATGACAGTACATCCAAATCACATCAGGTCATACAACTCCTTCCCACACCATTCTGATCTAACCACTCATTTAGTCCAAGCAATAACTTTTGCATTCCCTTTCGCCATCGCCGCTCTGATCCGAATTCTTCAATCAAACTGCTGCACCATTCTAACCCAACTTCATAATTTCCTTCGTGATCTGGAGTCGCTCGCTTCTGCCACCAGCTTCCTTCACTCATGCGCTCGTTCCACCATTCCCTGCAAGACGACACTGTCACTTGCAGGACGATGGAGGGATCTGGGTGGTATAGGAGGTGTGCGGGCCTGCGGCCCACCTACGAGACTGCTTCCTAAACCATCAGGCAACATCAACGGCTTCATTTTTTCGCATTTTATATGGATTGGACCTGTGCAACATTTGTCCATTTTCACAACCCCCGGTTGGTTTTCAGTTTCAACACCTAAGGACCCATCGGCCTTAGTCCTACGACTCAGCATTACGGTTAGGACTTGGTCACTCACCAAGGACTAATGGAGCAAGGGTCGTTTCATCGCATCAATCTCTCACCGAAGATTCTCAACATCATGGACTTCCCTCTTTTTGGTTGGATTCGCTTTGGACCACATCTTCGACCTAGAGTTTTTCATTCCGGCATCTACGATCTACAGTTACAGGCACTCGGGACTTGGGACTTACCCAGGGTGAAGCTGGACCTTGCTGTTTCTACCGATACCGCTCCCGCTGCCAGCCACAGTATATGTAACGGGCATTGGACTGCTGAAAGCAGGCTGCAAAGCTTCTCGCGCCGTCACCTCCTGAGGTCGCCCGGTCGCAGCGTACATTGCCTGCGCTAACCTGCAAGGCGTTCAAGGTCCACGATAGGTCAACGGATTTGAGGAGGCAATCATTCCTGTTCGCCAATTTTGGCGAAGCGGTCCCACCCGCCCTTCAACATTCCCGCGGTGTGCGGGCCTGCGGCCCACCTACGAGACTGCTTCCTAAGCCATCAGGCAACATCAGCGGCTTCATTTTTTCGCATTTTATATGGGTTGGACCTGTGCAATGTCAGTAGAGTGGAATGCCCTTCTTGGAAAAGTTGGCAAGTACCGGGGTATTTGCAAAGTTGGATGGTACTCGGTAGGGGTAAATCACAAAGATGGGGGTCCAACTGACGCGAGGCGTATGTCACAAATTTTTATTTTTGTCAGAGGGGCATTTCGCTCTACCGACATCTTTCAGGGGCATTTCGACATATATCTCAACTTATGGGGGTATTTTGCAACTTATCCTTTTTTTTTTCCAATGAATTACGGGTTGTTGTAGAGGTTGGATGCTGGGCAGATGACAGTCACTTGCCGTAGTAGGCCATTTGGTTATTCAGACGGTCTGTAGAGGTCCCGAGTCTCCCTTCCCAAACTCCCACCCTCATTATTTCTCCCTGGCGCACCCCTACTCCCACAATCCCACCTCAGTGTTTCTCCACTCAGAATTATCACCCTCCTATCATCTCAACAGGGGTGACCTGACTGGACAGCGGTTGTAGGCACCGAGGCTAAGCAGGACGTACCAGCTAAGCCCTGATTGAAGCATAGTTCGCAGCCAGGATGGTTGCGTATAGATGGATGTCTTTTGTCGTTTAGCTGTCGGTTTCCGTATGGGGAATGTCGTCGATCGGGTAAGTGGGTTTAGAGGGCGTCGTTGCGCGAGAAATAAGGTTGCGGTCGCCAACTGGGCACCGACCGGTACTTTCGCGAGGGAGCGTGGCGGCGGTCGCGGGAGAATGGTGGCGTGCGTCCGGTCGTACTGTTGCCTTCCCGATATAGGAATGTTTTTATGTTATCCGACCGTTCGTTCTCCACTGAGATCCAGGGTATAAGTTCGCCCAGTCTATGTTTTTTTCAGTTCCCCCCCCCGCCCACTGTCTGCACTTCTCCACAAACATGCCCGGATTCGTGTGTCAAATCCTCACCTCGCCCTTTCTCTTTCCTCCCCCCACCACTGTCTGCACTTCTCCACGCCCTGGCAGTCCCGTGCTGCTAGCTGCGGGCTACCGTAGTCCCCTCCTGTCGGCCGGGCTCGCCAGGTCCTCGATGCAGCGTTCGGCTGTGTAGGCAAGTATGTCTATTGCAGCGCGAGAGCTAGGGTCTTTGGAGAGTGGAGAGTGAGAATGGGCGGGGGTGGGACGGGGCGGCCGAAGGGAGGTTTCGAAATCGCGCCGACGCACGGGCATGGTGTGTTGGCGGTAGCGTGAGGGCTGGTCGAGTTGTCGTGCCAAAGGCTGGTCGAGTTGTCTAAGGTTGAGCCTGCTATCTGTCGGGCGGATCGAGGTGTAGTGGCTGCTTTTGGCTGCTTTTCGGTTTGGGGAATGTCTGTCGTCATTTCGAGTGCACCGAGACAGCTACGTTGTCCAGCTGCATTCACAATGTTGTCGGATGGGGAGTCCTGCTGAGACTTGGCCCCAGGTCTCGCCTTCTACCGAGGGACTACTGCGGGCATATCGTCTCCACCTGCAAGGTGAGATGGGACTGGTTTGTATGAGCTCGGCGGTTCCCCCGCCGTCCTGGCTGCGCCCCCACGCCATGCGTGGTATCAGTCGGTTTTGGTACGAGTTTGCCTTGAATAGAACGTCTGCATCTGAATGAACATCTGTCTATAGAGCAATAATGACCGTGCGTTCTATTCAGGACAGGAAAAAGAGGGTACGTGCTGTGATTGACTGGACACGGCGGACAGCCTACCGGTAGCCGATCGAAAACCCGAAGCCGACTCGCTGGCTGGAGCCGCGGGTTCGTTCCGTTACCTAGCAAACACGTGTGCCCACGCCGAAGCGGCATTGGCTCGCGGCTCTTGCCGCCTCGCCGACGAGCCAAGTCGGGGCTAGGTCCCACTTGCACGAATTAAGAGATACTGACCGTAGATAGCGAAGATCAACGGCCGAAAACTCCTCTGTTTGCGTAAGTGGGACCTTGGCCCCGGAGAGCGGGAGTTGGCTGTTGGCTGGCTTCCGGGCCAAGGTCCCACTTGCGCAAAAATCCGGCCGTTGATCTTCGCTACCTACGGTCAGTATCTCTTAATTCGTGCAAGTGGGACCTAGCCCCCGGGCCTAGTTGCACCACTGGCGATCCGCCAACATTGTGAACGCATGTGGACAACGTTCGTGACCAGGTTCGCTAAAGATGTTGACGGATGACTAGTGGTGCAGTCCTACGACAGGCAGTAGGCTCTTGGTCGCGCAGCCCGCCGTTGTACTTACCATCACCACAGTAGAGGGTTTGGCCTGCCGTGAAAGCTGAAGTCGTTACGTCCCGGCGCCTCCGCGCGCTGTGCCTGTGCCCCACTGCGAACTGCTGCTGATGTTTGCACATGGCAACGACCTACCTGCTGGGAATCGTAACAGATCCTCTGCTTTCACTTCGTTGTCGTTTGAGAGCCACCCTCGCAGTCTTTCCTCTCTCAGCGGCCACCGATTTTTGTCGAATCTCAGCCGACTTTCCGTTCTCCGCTCTTTCGTTGGCTCCCGCCGTCATTGCATTTTGTTGTTTGCCTGCCGCTCGTCTGTTTATGCGTGATGCTCCCGCGCCCGCCCTTTTCGTGAGCGGCAGCCGTCCCCCACTGCTGCTCGGCTATCAGGAAAGGCAAAGTTTTCTCTCCGCGCGCTACTTGCATTTTCGCTTTCGCTGTGGCCTTGCCGGTGCTGAGTATATTGGCCACCACCATAGCTGGATCTCAGCAGCTTGCAAGATCGAGGGTCTTCGTTGCATGTCGGCTCTTTGTTGACAGCTACTGTAGTCGCGCCGCCGCCGCTGTTATCTCGGAGTACGCCCGAGGCCACTGTCGGCTTGAGTGGTGGGTGTGTGGTTCTTTCGGCTGGCAAGTCTCTTATCCGATCGTGTTGGGCAAAATGAGCGACGCGTCGATCAAGGAGGAAAGGGGAGGTGGTGGAGGTGGGGACGATGTGGTCCGAACACTCTTCATATCTGGTCTTCCACAGGATGTGCAGGAGAGAGAGTTGTTCAACTTGTTCCGGCCTTGTGATGGCTACGAGAGCAGTCAATTGCAGGTCACAAGCCGTTCAGTCCACGTAGGTTTTCGGGCTCTTCTCAATCTTGCCGCCTTTCCCTTTGCCTTGGAGCTACTCCTCTTACGCACATTCCTCCTCCTCCTCTTGCTACCTCGTGCTTATGGAAATGCTGCCCAGCTGAGGGGATCGGAATTCTGATTACCTTCCTTCCTTCCGTCTTCTTCTTCTTTCTTCTTGTTCTTCTCATTCTGTTCTCTCGTTTCCTGCTCTTCTTCTGTTGCTTTCCTGTCTATTTCTTTTCGCTCTATCCTCTCCTTCGCTTCTCTCTCTCTCTCTCCCCTTCTCTCTTCTTCTATTCTGGTCGTTGTTTTCTCTTCCCTCTGTTCACCTTCGTCTCCCCCCTTCTCTTTCTTTTTCCTTCTCATCTCATCATTCTCCCTTGTTTTTTTCTATCCGTCTCTCTCTTTCTCTCTCTCTCCCCTTCTTTTTCTGTCGTTTTGACTTTTCTTTCTCAACGTTCTCTCTATCCCGGTCTCGCTCTCTCGTCTCTCTTTCTTCTCTTATTTGTGTTAGGGCATACTCACGGAGATACTTTTTTCGATGCATCTGGTCATCGTTACGTCTAAATTCATTGGAAAAAGTTAGAAGGACGCCCTTAGCCCTAATAGAAGTATTTCTGGCTGTGCTAGGGCAAGGTGGTTAACATAACACATACGTCCGTGGTCCCCACATTTGCCGACGCGAGTGCTTGGTGACTGTGAGATTGATGGAGGAAGAAAATGGAGCCGGTAGAGTCATATGGCGTGCCAACCCACCCAGTTGAGCATGCGTCTCGCGAACAGCGATATTCCTTCGTGAACGAGGAAATCAGAAAATACTCTGGTTATTGGACGATTGAAGAAACAAGAAGGACGCAGGCGAGCGAACAGGAAATCAATTTGGAGTCTGAAGCCGTTAGTCTTCTGAGTGGAAGGGCATGTTCACATTAGGACTTTTTCGAATGAGCTCTGGATGTAACGTAATTGCGGAGAGATGCATCTGGAGCTGGCCCTAATGGCGGTCAGATACGTTTAGGAAAGGGCAAGTGTTAGTATGCTCTAACTCGTGCACGCTGGGAGTAATTCATAAGAGGAAGAAAGGAAGGAAAGAAGAAAGGTAAAGGCATAGGGAAGACAGTGAGACGTTGAAGGAGCGAGGAGGGAAGAGATGGAAAATAGGGAGGATGGAAGATTTGGGTACGGGGAGGAGGAGGGACGATGAACGAAGAATGGTCAAGAGGAGGGAAGGAAGAATGAGAGTAAAGAAGGAAGAAGGGGCGACGGCAAGAGAGGGTGATATCGGTAAGGCAGGAGAGCGGGGTAGAGGGATCCAGAAAGGGGCATAGGAGAGGAAGAATGAGAGGAAAGTAGGTAGAAGGGGCGACGGCAAGAGAGAATGGGGGACGGCAAGAGAGGGTGATATCGGTAGGGCGGAGAGAGAGAGAGAGATGGAGGAAGGATTAAGGGAGGGGGAGAGGAAAGAGCAGTGTCAGGGAAGGGAGAGAGGGAGAAGGATGAAGGGTCAAGGGTAGGGTAAGGGAAAGAGCAGCATCAGGGGAAGAAACGAGGGCTTGAAGGCGGGAGGTACAATCGGTACTAACGCGTGTGATGAGCGTGAAGGGCCGGGAGGGTGGGGGATTTCTCTCCGCTTTGTTAAACAATCAGCGGGTGTTTGTGTATGCGGTAAATTAACGAGGGGGTTCTATTCTCGGAAGTAGTGAACCGGAGGGAACGCTCCCTCCACAATACGTTTATGAAGAATAGGAAAATATGTAGAGTATCAATGAAAGAAGACAAAATACGCGAATGTGCAGCCAGGTTGTCGTTCAAGTAAGCATGCGTTTTCTACTCCCTTTTCCATACGGTGTTCTCTTGTTTCTTCCCATCCATCGAGTGTTTTATGCCTTACCTCTTCCGTGCCGTTCTCCCCCACGCTGGGGTGAACATAGCATCATATACTGTATGTACCACCTCCGTTCTTCCTGTCCTTCACTCCACCTCTCGTCCTCTTCGTGTTCTCTACCTTCGTCCCCCGAATACAACGTACGGTAATTATAGCTGTATCTAGACTGAAAGATGCCTCGAATACAGCTATAATGACCGTACGTTGTATTCGGGGGAAGAAGGTAGTTCTTTCCATCCCTCGACTGGTTTCTGGTTTCTCTCTTCCCTTCCACTCTCCTCTCTTTTGGTCAAATAGAATCGTCAGACTATGTACCGTAATGACAAATGGATGGCAGCAACAATGCGATACTGCCTTTGCGTGGGAGAAGAGAAGGAGATACGAATTCGTTGAGCCACGTATTCAAAAGTCGGTATGCCCTGGCAAGTAACCACCCGCTTTCCGCCGAATAGAACGCTCAGGAAGTGGAGGGAGAAAGGTAAGATAAGCTAGGCAGCATGAATGTATTGTAAGCAGGTTTATGTCCAGATAGGCAGCGTAAATGCATTTATAGCAGCTTTGTGTTCAGATGCAGACAGGATGCTTAACTTGTGTATTCGGGGAGCGGGAGGGTGAATGAGTCTTGCTGAAGTGGAATGTAGTTTAACTGCTCAGCTATTGAAATGGTCGTTACGAGAGCGCAAGCTGGCAGGAAGTAGCGCAACTGCTCAGCTATTGAAATGGTCCTTACGAGAGCGCAAGCTGGCAGGAAGTATCGCAACTGCTCAGCTAATGAGATGCTACTTACGAGAGCGCAAGTTGGCAGACACTAACGTCTTCCACCCAAATGCAACGCCCGGTTTGTTGTAGTCATATTTCGGGCAATTTTCAGTCCAGATACAGCTATTATAATGAGAGGGCGTTCTATTCGGGGGCAGACGGTAGCCCAACTGCTCAGCTAATGAGATGGTCGTTACGAGAGCGCAGGCTGGCAAACAGTAGCGCACAAAGCGAGAGAGGAAGATTAGCCTTTGTGGCGCGATTTTATCTGGTTAGGTTGACAACGCGAAGAAGAGTACCGTCTTCCCCCGAACACAACGCACCCGTCTTCCCCCGAACACAACGCACCCTCCCTGATCATGAATGCATTCAAGCTAACTTTCCGGTCCTATACTGTCACAATGAGGTCGCGTTTTATTCGGGGGAAGAAATATGGTAACCTTCCCAACCCACCCTGTATTTCTTGTAGGGAGTAAGTTTATGGGCCTCGCTGTACTACTCTCGACATGCACAAAAGACAAAAATATTGGCGGTGTATCTTTCCATATCCTAGTTGAAGATTCACTCTCGTTTTGCACATTTCAAGAGTAGTGCAACGAGGCCCTATCAATGGCGGGAATTTCGACGGATTGAGAGCATAATTTTAATAATAATTTTAATAATAATTTTAATAATTACATCTGGGATCTGTTTTGTTGTTGCCCCCTGTTCTGTATTATTTGGCTGTTCCCTACCTCTTTTCTTTGCCTCTTTGCCTTTTAGCTGTGTGCAAGTGGGTCGATATGACACACGGGGGTGGGGGGCAGCCGCCGCTCAACCTACATCCACGTGGGCGGCCTTGTACGCAAGAGGTTCTGAACAGGGGGAGTTATAAGGAAGAAGATAAAAAACTGAATTCATTTTTTCCT